CACATATTAAGTATGATAAAACTGTTTAAGTACCTACTTGGATAAATAAGTTTTGATATTAATTGTGGAATTATTACCAAAGGAAAATTATTTTTAGTTTGTTTAACTTTTTATTAAAGAGATCTTTAAAATGTAAGCTGTATTATATTGAAAGTTCTAAAAATCCTGAGATTTCATGAGATTAGCAAAACCCAGCCGCAATCCTGAGAAGAGTCTAAAAATCCTGAAATCTCAGGACAAATCCTGAGGTAATCTTAGATGCATCACAATTTTTTTCCGAACTTGGCGGACTTTTTTTATTAAATTAAGATTTTGGCTTGGATGTCCACCCTTTAAGCCATTTCTTCATTTATCTCAGTATCAAGATATAATAATTCTTTACAGTAGTCAGCTTCACTATATGTTGATACGTCAGATTGCGCAGCCCTTGGGAGATTTTAACGGCAATTTGAGCCAGCAGACATACATCTTATCTTGAGATTCACATCACCATCGTGGCGCTTGTTTCACCGTTTCCATTAATAGTTCACATGCGCAGGCATTAATACACAAAATCGCACCACTTTTACATATCCAAATCCGCTTCGAACCATTATTTAAACAATAATAGAGGAGTAGCAATTTGCCGCCGGTCAAGTTCCCGCTAAAACTCCGAACTTGGCTGACACGCTACTGTATGTCTAGATAAAAATTACCAGAAGAAGGAAAAAACATATACTACCATTTCATTCTAAGATAACGTAGAATATGGCAGCAAAATGGATATAAAAGATATAAGACTATACTTAATAAAGCTATTAAAGACCTGAAGACTCAATAGTAGATGATTTAAATAACGCCCCACTTCAAAATAAATTGGAAAATCTAACTGCCACAAAATCGACAGAATACTGGAAGTTTACAAAGGCGTTAAATAGGCCACAACAATACAAATGTCCTATTAAAACTCAGTCTGGTTGCACTAAGACAAGTAAAGAAAAAGCCAACATGTTTGCAAACCGTCTGGCCACCATCTTTACACCTAATGAAGGCAATAATGCAGAATTCGAGAACGAAGTCGAATGCACTCTGCAGCAAGACCTACAACTATCCACTCCACCAAAACGAGTCACAATTGAGGAACTGAAGAAGACCATAGATGGACTGCAAAATAAAAAAAGCCTCCGGATTCGATCTTATCACAAAGGAGGTTATCATGCATCTTCCCAGGAAATCATTGGTGTTTTTAGTCTTTCTTTTCAACGGAGTGATTCGAGTACAATGTTTTTCCCAATTTAGGAAGGTATCCATTGGTTACAATGAAACAATGATACACAAGCCTGGAAAACATCCGGAAGACGCGTCATCATCTGCGCTCTCTAAGCTGTTTGAGAAGATCCTTCTGAGTAGAATATCACCCATACTCAATGAAAACCTGATAATCCCTCAACACCAGTTTGGTTTCAGACAACAGCATTCTAGGATACAGCAAGTGCATCGGGTATGTGATAAGACAGGCCTTCGAAAAAAAGGAATACTGCTCGGTTGCATTTTTGAATGTCCAGGCAGCCTTCGATAAGGTGTGGCATAAAAGGCCTTCTTTACAAAAAAAAAAAAACGTCTCTACCGCATAGTCTTGTTGATGGAGTTATGATCTCATAAACCGAATTTTCCTGGTAAGAGAGGATGGAGAGCTGTCCGAAATCCAAGATATAATGGCAGGAGTTCCACAGGCCAGGCTGTCCTGTCTTGTATACCATCTAAATTGCAGACCTCCCGGAAACAAGGGGTAACAACGGCTACATTTGCCGACAACACCGCGATTCTCGCAAGTAGCAAAGATCCGATCGCAGCATCCGCCGCCTTGCAAAATAGCCTTGACAAGGTTGATGAATGGATCCAGAAATGGAGAATCAAAGCCAGCACAACTAAATCCGCACATGTCACATTAACGCTGATGGGAAGCTGCGCTCCGGTGAAAATGGGCAACAATGTTCTGCCACAGAGTGACTGTCCGATACCTTGGTATAAATCAGGACAAAAGGCTGACCTGGAAAAAACACATCAAATCAAAACGAGACGAGCTCAGCATGCGATTCAGAAACATTTACTGGCTGATGGCACATGGGTAAAGAAACTGTACAGATGCAAAGCTTCTAAGGAGCTGTCAAAATTTTTACCCATTTTGGTAGGGTTGGCACAGGAGGATAAAATTAAATAAACAAAACGTTTCTAAGCCTTTTAATAGATACTTAAGATATAATATTTTATAATGATTTCTTATATTTACGCGAAAACTACTTTTACGGATTTTATTGCGTTTCATTATACTTTTTTTTTATATAGGACAAACAAAACGATCTATTAATATCCGCGTTAAACAACACAGAGCCGACGTGAAACACCAACGTTCAGGGAAGTCTGCAGTTTGTGATCATGTCCTAGACGGCCTCCACCATAACGTTAGATTTGATGACGTGACGTGACATCGATTCCTGCCAAGATTAACGTGAAATTTAAAAAAAAAACATCCTAATTTCAATAGAGGGGGAGGCTGGGTACTACCACCTGCTTCGGATCTTGTAATTGATAAAATTAAAACTAAACCCAAGCATACCACTGCAAGACTTCAAGTCACAGTAAGTTCATTCTGCGTAGATCAGACCAAAACTAATAATTAAAAAGCTGAAGGTACCTACTCTAACACCGGGACGTCAATCACATCAGTTCTCCGTGACCATAGGTGCTGGAAAGCACCCGAGACGTCGGGAATTTAAAAATAAATATAATTAAACGCGATAAAATATAAGTAGTTGTATTCAACATAATATTTTTTTACAAACCTTTTCCTACTGTTAACACATCGTCAGGTTGCGGTGATGGTGTATTAAAATACGACAATCGTCTGGTTTCGTAAGTTACATATCGAAATCGTAAACATATGTTGGTTCCTGGCAGTGACCATCCGCCTCTCTGACTTTTACAAAGAAATTTTCGAGACAATATTGATCGAGGTCTCGTAAATGTAAATTAATTTAATTTCATCTGATTTTATGATAATTCTTCATAAAGTTTTATTAAAGATTTTATAGATACTTGAAATCCGTGAATGAAATTCATGCTATTTGTAACGTCTTTCTGCCTATCACTCTTTATTGATTTTAAGTTTCTGATAAATGTACAGTCAATCGGGTTAACTTCGATTAACAAGGGTAACTGTGACAGTCAAATCGTAAAATACGTTTTTATTTTTTACGTGCACAACATTTAGTGCATAACATTAAATTTATACAATTCGTGTACTTAACAAACTTCGTAAACGAACTCTCTGGAAAAAAAGGAAGGTGTCTTACGAAGTTAATGTCAAAAACTTATTTAAAAGTACCACGCGCAACTGTTGTCTTTTTGCAGTGGTAAACTTTTAACTTTAAATGTTACCAAAGAGTTTAAATAAAGATAGAACTACAACTTTATGGTTTTATTGACTTGTATATGACTCCACTGCATCTGAAATTTGTTAAAAACTTAAACTTATGTTACCCTGAAGCTATAAAATGTTTAAAAGATAAAATTCCTGCGACGAATCTCATCTGAGTTAAAGGTATCCATATAGGGGTTATAACTTTGACACACAACAAAATTGCCAGTTTTTGATATGTTGACTTTAAATGCCTTGAGAGTACGAAAACCAACCTTAGAGCAAAGATTAAGTAAACTCATTTGTCTCATATTTAACATAGTAAAAGTTAACTAAAAAATATTGTGATGATCTGTCAAAGTTACCCCGATTGACTGTAAGCATTTCTTCTAAAGCTCAACTTGATAACTATCACATTGAAAAGCTCTTTTATATTTTTTAGGAGATTGATTGGCAACCTCGATAAGATTTCAATCTACGTAGGTATTAGTAAACCATTTATACAGCTTTTTATATTTCATTTGATACGAACTATATTTAAAAATAAATAAATTTGTAACTATTTTTTACTGGCTGAGCCGGTTTAAAGCAGTTTCTCTCTGTACGTGACCTATGTGTACCTATCACAGCGCAGTTGTATGAAGCTTTGCCTCTGTATGGTAGGGTTTCTTTACTCATGTGCTGATGGCACGTAACTCCAAACTGTTGATCGACAACAAACTATCGATATACAAGATGATCCTAAAACCAATCTGGATGTATGGCGCACAGCTGTGGGGAAGTGCTTGTGACTCCAATGTAAACATAATGCAAAGGCTGCAAAATGTCATCTTAAGAACCATTTCAAATGCACTATGGTTCATCACCAACACTGAGATCCAAGCTCTGAGCATAAGAACTGTTAAGGAGGAGTTAAAACTAACAGGGAATAAATATAAAACACGGCTTGAAAATCACCAAAATGATTTGGCTACTGCGTTAACCACTATCAGCTACACTAAACGACTGAAACGCAATGATATACAGAAACTTGGTAACAGATGGTGAAGGATGAGATGTCGCCTACTGAGGAGTTCCTTAGACACGATAAAAATGGCAGGAAACAAATCTGCTTATAGTTTGGGTGTGACTGCACATAAGCACAAAAATAGTTCATTCTAAAAGTTTTGTACCTACTTTAGAAAAAATTTATAATTTTGATATTTATTTTATACATTTATTCTGACAACATAAAATTTAAGCTGGATGATTCTTAAGTAGTAAATCCATTTTCTTCATTATGTCTTGTGTTTTTATTACAAAAAAAAGTTAAATTGTACATCAAGTGATGAAACAACACTTAAAATAACTAAATTATATGATATTATGCTATTATATGCTAAAATTACTCAAAAGTAGTAGATTTTCAACCTTCATTTTCTAGTGCATGGAATTGGCATTGAGAAATTCATTATCTTTAACAATTAAATATAACAATGACTTATTATAATTTAAATATGACTAACTACATTAAATGACAAGTATACATTAAAACATTAATGAAATATAAAGATTCAGACAGAGTAATGAAAGTGGAACTTTACCTCCACATTACACATTTGAGCTAGCGGCGTTTCTTTTTATCTTGACGCCGAGCTCGTAATAGACTTGAACGATGTCCAGGAGATGATTGTTCTGAGCTGCACTCATCACTGTCAGTATAAGCCTAGAATAAAAATTGTAAATAAACCATCTATGCCGGCTCAACATAAGTGAGTGAAGTAAATTTTGGTGTGGACACCACTGAAAATGTTAATCGAAAGTTATTTTGACATTTTGGTATGCTGGAGAGGAAACATACAGTATATTGTGTAAAAACCTAAAAATGTCAGAAAAATATTACAAAAGAAATATGAATACATATTAATTGGTCAACATGTATTGATGCAGTCTGTCTTTTAGCAATAGGAAGAGACCTTTGTTCTGCAGTGGCATATTAATTATTAATAATTTTTATAGTTTTTACAATCATTTTGTGAACAGGCCATCATCTAACGTGTAGTTTTACTATTTATCAGTAGATGGAAAATGGCCAAATGGGCGGGGCTTCACATCCCCTCACCCTGCAAATTGTCACGCATTGTTACATAGTGAAATCTAATTACACCACCTATTCTTTGTATTTGCTCTGTGTATTAATGTGCAAATTGATGATGCACGTTGCTGTTATAAATTATGCTCATTGCCGTGTTTGGTGATGATCAATTTTTCGTGAGATATTCCACTGTTTGAAACATCTTGCGCAAGGTAGTTGCTTTAGAACATCTTTTTTCAACATCAGGTCTCATACAAAATGATCAGCAAATCATATTGTCTGCAAATCATTTGAATATTGAGTCTGTTGAAAGTGAACTTTAATTATTTAAATATTAAGTGAAATTTAATTAGGTATCCTCGGAGTCGACATATCGAGTGACGTGCAGTTTCGTGGTCACTTGGAAGAGAAGGCCAAATTGGCCTCTAAAAAGCTTGGCGTGCTCAGCAGAGCGGGACAGTATTTCATGCCGGCACACCGCCTGCAACTTTACAAGGCGCAGGTTCGGCCTCACATGGAATACTGTTCCCATCTCTGGGCAGGGGCTCCCCAGTGCCAGCTCCTTCCACTTGACCGCATCCAGCGCAGAGCGGCTCGAATCGTCGACGACCGAGCCCTTTCCGATCGGCTCGATTCATTGGCACTGCGAAGAGATGTTGCATCTCTTTGCATTTTCTTTCGCATCTACCATGGGGAGTGCTCTGAGGAATTGTTCGGATTAATCCCAGCCGCCAAATTTCACGAACGCACATCGCGGCAGAACTCCCGATACCATCCACACCATCTGGATGATTGGCGGTCCACCACTGTGCGATTTAGAAGATGTTTTCTTCCTCGCACAACTTCCTTGTGGAATAGTTTACCACCAGGGATTTTTCCGGACCGATACGACTTAGGGACCTTCAAGAAAAGAGCCTACTCCTTTTTAAAAGGCCGGCAACGCATCTGCAATTCCCCTGGTGTTGCGGTTGTTCATGGGCGGCGGTAGTCACTTACCATCAGGTGAGCCGCATGCTCGTTTGCCCCCTCTCCTATAAAAAAAAAAAAAAAAAAAAATTATTGACATTATGTAACAAGTTTTCTAGTAGGTAGGACTCCTAATCTGCCTAGGCGTATTTCTGGTTTCTTGCTTGTTCTTCGCAGGACAGAGGTATTTTCCATACCAGTAGTAGATAAAAAAAACTACTTTCAATAAGTATTATGTAATAATCTATATTGAATAAAAATCATTCTATTGTATATTGCAGTGCTGCATTTCGGTCTGAAGGGTATAAAGAGACAGGATAAAGGCTGTGAAGCATTCTATCTTATCTTCGGAGGTGACAAAGCATCTTAGCCTTCTTTGTTAGAAGTTGGCTACAGGTGTCCATGAACAGTCCAGGTAGCCACTAACCATCATGTTAAATCAACGATGATAATTAATTTTTTCTTTTTAAAAATAACACTACCCCTACACTAGATTTTTCTCCTATATCATGGAGGCAGTTTACAAACATTCAAACCTGAAACTATTATTTGTAGATAATACAAATATTTGTTCCACACAAGACTTGAACCTGCAGCCTTCAGCGCTGCAACTCTTTGCTAAGCTACGGCTCATTCAAGAGAAAATTTAAAAGGTTTAATATATAGTACTTTCGATAAGACCAGCTTAAAATGTTTTTGCAGAAAGGCTCCGTAGTGAGATATCTAATGATTTTCCTTTAAGTTTCTTTTCTATGGTTGTGATTTGTTTTCATTTGCACTACTTTTCATGTTCCCAATATATTTATGTTCTTATGATAAATTACTTGCTTAGTAACCAATTTGTTTTCTTCCTATTTTCAAATGAATAATTGTGAAACTAGCCCCCTTAAAGGGCTATTTCTCAATATAATAAGGGGACAATTTATGTACGGAAAGACCTTATAAAAACAAAAGGGTAAAAAATATTTACATTTACCTTCTCGTATGGGTGTGGGTCACATTGTTCATCAGTAATAGTCACACAAGCTAAGAGGCAAACTAACTGAAAAGCAGCGCCTATGTATAATCCATATCTAATTACAGTATTCATCAGATCTTCAGCAAATATCTCATTGGGAATCATTTTGTAGATCTAAAAAAACGAAACCCATAACAGTAACATCATTGTAACAGTAAGAAACAAATTGACTCTTTGACAAAATTTCATTTTGTAACATTAATCTCACTATAAAATTTACTTATTTACTTACTTTATTCAAGCAGTAAATAATAATTTTGAAGTTTGTTTGTTGTAAATTGAAAATAAATTATAAGTTGTCTATAGACAACTATACAAACGTAGTAATTAGATTTCGGGTTGAGTGTTTTCCTCTTAGGACAATAATTAAAGCAGTATTTACAGAATATCACAAATTAATAAATATGTATCAAGCAAACTATTATGAAATATGAAGTACTAGCATCTAGGTCTAGCACACACAACAGCCTACACCAACAGTTTTTTCCCTTGATTTGCATTGATTTTGTGCAATTTTGTGATCTATTATTATATTTATTGACCAAAGCACAAATCAATAGTTTTTTTTAAAACTCGCTTTACTGCTCTGGGTTCTAGCCCCTCTGAGCCGGAAGTTACAATTTATAATTATCCTTCATAGTACACTGCTTAACAATATGTTGATGCATCATATTGTGCAGCCCTTGGGAGATTTTGACGGCATCTTGAGCCAGCAGACACCTGATAGTTGGCGATGGTATCTCAAGGCGCCTAAGTAGACAGACACCTTATCTTGAGAGTCACATCACCATCAGAGCACTTGTTTCACCGTTTCCACTAATAATTCACATGCGCAGACATTTAATACACAAAATTGCACCACTTTTACATATCAAAACCCACTTCAAACCATTATTTAAACAATAATACAGGAGCAGCAATCCGTCGCCGGTCAAGTTCCCGCCAAAACTCCCCAATCCATAGATTACTGTATTTTAGCGATGAGCGTTGAATCAACAAACTAGTTGAATCAACCGTTGATCTTCTGTCAACGTATTAACGTTAACCGCTTATGAATCAACTAGTTGAATTCGTCAACGACTCGTGAATTTAACTCGTGCGTTTCGTCAACGCAACGAACTGAGCAAATTAAAAAAAAACTTACGTTACGTTTAACGTCATAGATTGCGAGCGATGGCCATGTCATACAATTTGAACTCTAAGTAACCTACAAAAGAGCTTTTGTTTTAAAAATAGTACTTATGAAGATATTGGTGGAATGGCGCGCCTCGCTCGTGCCGTCCGAGAGAAATAGGTTAGTTTTAGTTTAATTTTTGATTGACAGTTTGTAACAAGTTGCGCGTAAATGTTAAGAGCTTAGACTTTTTAGTTAATGTTTATGGTAACAGTGTAAATTTGTTTGTGTTAATATAATTGTGTATATTTGAATAAAATAGGACTACTCAAGGTACAAAATTGAAAATGTCGGGACGTACTGGCGTAACAATGTATTGTGACTGCATTTCGAAAAAATAAAAAAGCTTAAAAAAAAAGAACAAACCTATGAAAAACATTGTAAATAATTGATTTGCGCACATAGAATCAGATGATCTTTTAAATACGCCTGAGTAGAACATTGTTTATAGCTAATTGTATTCAATCAGTTCTAAGTTCTAAGCCTAACGAAAAAGTATAAAGGGAAGGTCATCTAAGTAGAACCATTAATCAAATGTTTTCCAATACATAAATTGAATCAAATTGTCTTTAAAATTGAACGTCGTAACGTTGAATTAAAACCGTTCAACGAATCAGTTTACGTTGCAAGTTGACATTAGTAGTACGTTAACTCGTTGAAGAATTCAACTAGTTGATTAACTAGTTGACAAACGTAAATGAACGTTAACGTTTCATTAACGGAAAAACAGTCAACGACCCATCGCTGCTGTATATATACCACAGATTATATATATATATATATATATATATATATATATATATATATATACGCCAGTGTTTCCACTATCAGGTTTTAATTTTGCCTTAGATTTTTTGACAATTGCCCTAACTAGCTTAAATTAGTCTCCGAAACTCCTTGATTAAGGGCGTAAAATTTAAAGACTTAGAAATACAACAAAAACATCACTTTTATTTAAGCGTTTTTCTACGATCATAAATCGTTCATTACTTACGTTGGTAGTAAGCAATTAATCAAGAGAAGAAGTAGTCGGTACCGGAAAACTGTATATCTATAATTCCATTTCTAAAACCGTGTTAGTATGGTTCAGGTGTCTACTTGAGAACTATGATTTATTACCACATTTTGATATAATGGTCATCTGTTTAACGTGTTTGGAATTTTTTTGATGTCTTCTAGAATATCTCATACTACGATATAGGCGTGCCGTGCATCGCGGCAATAACTGTAAATAGAAAGTACGAACTCCCTTATGGGGCAGTTTTAGTATTTTTAGTATTAACCTATGATTACAGTTGAATTGTCTTTTATTAATCTTATTTATTGTATCCTTACAATTATATTTTCATTTTGTTTTTAACATTTAGCATTTATTGATATGTGAAATGGGTGTAAAAAAGCCTGAAATAAATGACTATTATTATTATTAATAATAATTCAGACATAATATCGCAGAATTAACCATAGGCTGACCGATTGAATTGACCCTATGTCAGAGGAGTCACAGACAAGATTACGTATATATTGAAGCGAGCTTCCATTAAAACATACTTCAAGCCGCCGGAAAAGCTGGATTGTGAATGTGGTCTCTCTTACATAGGACAAACAAAAAGATCTATAAAAACCCGCGTAAAAGAACATATTGCCGATTTGAAACACCGACGTTCCGGGAAGTCTGCAATTTGTGAAAATGTTCAAGATCATCCCCACCATTACATTAGATTTGATAGATCACAAATCGTCGCAAAAGAACACCGATTCCTACCAACGATCTTTCGCGAGGCTATTGAAATTAAAAAACATCTTAATGTCAATAGAGAAGATGGATGGGTGCTGCCATCTGCTTGGGATCCTATAATTAATAAAATTAAATCCAAACCCAACTATACCACTGCAAGACTTCAAGATACTGTAAGCTTATTCTGCGTAGATTGGACCAAAAATTAATATTCAAAAACTAAAGGTAGCCGTGCTAGCTATGGCATCGGGACGTCAAACATCTCAGCCCTCAGTGACCATGGGTGCTATAAAGCACCCGAAACGACGGGAATTAAAAAGTTAAATTAAACGCGATAGAATCTGTAAAAATTAGTTTAATTTAATAGGCTTTAGTTTCACTTTTACCTAATCGTTTCAGCCAATTCTTGAACTCTGGATTCTTCAACCATGAATTTTTAATTTTTTGCATTTATTTTTTTCTTTCATTGATGGTACTTTGTCTGTTTGAGATGTCAGAAGAGAAGATGACAAAAGAAATCAATTAACGCATTAACTTATAGTAATTTGTCGAATAATAATGTGTTAGGAACTTCGGAACGGCGAAGTCTATGTTAAAATAGTGTTACCACCTTTACATTCTTTTTATTATTCAATTTTACCCCAAATTACCCTAAATCCCTCTAAATATAAAAAAGCCCTAAACCATACTTTAAATGAGCGGTTTCGCCCTAAAAAGGGGCGAAATCCCTAAAAGTGGAAACACTGATTGATGTACGCACAGATACAGGCAGTATAACCAGATCAAATTTCACGAAAATACCGAGGCACTTCAAAAAAATACTGACATATACCGACATACATAACGTAAATATACCAATAATAAAACTGATTTTCTTAATATGTTTTAATCACTCATCATCATCACAATAAATACTAGAATTGTATTTTAACATTCTTTTCGAAGAGCATAATGAGGGTTAATAATTTTCTGCTCACCAGATGTCGCTAGTTGACACTGAGGTAAAGTTTTTAGTTACACAATGTAATTTAATTGAGAAGTTGTTTTTTAATAAAAATTTATCAGTGTCTAGAGTATTATTAATAATACACAAAACAATGCGTCAGTGGTTTGCTCTTTAATTTTTTGCACATTTTTAACTTATTTAATTTTTCTACTTTTATGAATATATGTGGTTTGGTTTATTCATTTTTAATGTTATTAATTTAAAATATAATAGTACAGAAAGAAACAATAACTTTTACATTTTCCGACCAAATAAACTTCCCCTTAGTTTTTTTTAAAACATAACTTGTAAAAAAAAACCGAGTCTCGCAACTCAGTTCATCTACCGTAAAAAGTTGTGAGATCCATGTAATACCAAGTCGGTTAATATATTCAGTCCCTACTTAAAGGTCCTTCTGTCTTAAGTTATTACGTAATTAGCTAACTTTACAACATTTTATAGTGACCATATCAATATTAAAAATATTTTATGTTTTAAATAAATAAAAAAAAACGAAGTTATAGGATTTCTAAAATGGCCTGAACTGTTTCGAGAAAAGGATGGTACGGCCGTGCCGCTTTTTTGCTCGACTTGGCGGGGGCACTGCCGTGCCCCCAGATAAACTACCTAGAAGGTTATACTTACCCTTGACTGTCCTTTTTTCAAGTTCGATTTATGTTTTTCAGTATTTGTATGTTGTTATATAAATGCTAATCTACTTTCGAGTTTCGCACTGCATGCTTTGCAAAAGATGGCGGTGAAAGCCACGAAGAAAATTCCTTCATTTATTCCCACTTTACCAAATAACTTTGCTGAAAACTAGACATACTGTCAACGTGTAACGTGTAACTAGTCAAGTAAAATAAAAATTAAGAAAATATGCGATCTATTTATATGATGACAAAAACGTGCTAGTGCTACTATCTTCTTATTAGTTTGTGCGTCCTACTAATTTGGGTGAATTCCGAATTATCTAAAGAACAATCTCAAAGATTAAGTTGAATGCAGGATAAAAATTATTTCACTTAAACAAACCGTATTAGACGACTCGATACACTTTGTAATTCATACACAAAAGTATTTAATGTGCCTATTTATCTATTCATACAACTGAAAATTTAAAATATAGATTTTGTTTTGAAAATAATAGATTATTTATCGTATAGTTTAAAAGCCTACAACGGCAGCCGTTTGTCATGTTCTATCTG